CAGTACCACCACAAGTAACCACTGCTGGCAGTACCACCACAAGTAACCACTGCTGGCAGTACCACCACAAGTAACCACTGCTGGCAGTACCACCACAAGTAACCACTGCTGGCAGTACCACCACAAGTAACCACTGCTGGCAGTACCACCACAAGTAACCACTGCTGGCAGTACCGCCACAAGTAACCACTGCTGGCAGTACCACCACAAGTAACCATTGCTGGCAGCACCGCCACAAGTAACCACTGCTGGCAGTACCACCACAAGTAACCACTGCTGGCAGTACCACCACAAGTAACCACTGCTGGCAGTACCACCACAAGTAACCACTGCTGGCAGTACCACCACAAGTAACCACTGCTGGCAGTACCACCACAAGTAACCACTGCTGGCAGTACCACCACAAGTAACCACTCACAGGTCTCCGGCAGGATCCTGGGGAGGACATTCTCCTTCAGCTTGTCGTCCTCCGGGTTGTAGCTGCGGAAGACGGCCGACCTGCCTCCCTCACTGCTGCTGTACAACAGTGGTGACAAAATATAAGTCTGTGGCAGCTGTGTGGTTTACAACTTCAACAAAACTTATTCATTATTTTACTCTACACATTGTAAAATCAAAATAAGGTACAATTTGGATTATAGATTATAAACACAAGGTAATAAGACTAAATCTAATGATAAGGTACAATTTGGATTAAAGATTATAAACACAAGGTAATAAGACCAAATCCAAATAAATAAACAGTGCGTGATGTTTCGGTAACAGCATTGTTACTATCATCAGACTATTTGGATTTGGTCTTATTATTTTTATTTCTAATCTATAATCCAAATTGTACCTCCTCATTTAGTCTTTTGTCTGATGATGGTAACAATACTGTTACCGAAATGTCACACACTATTAATTTATTTGGTCTTATTATCTTTTATGGCTGTTTGGTTTTAGACTAGAACCATATTCAGTGTCCATTCTAGCTCATCTGTCTTCAGAAGGCATCCAGGTCTTTCCTCCTCTGTAGGTTCCTTCAAATAGCTCTTTCCAGGACATCTCATTGTTTATAAACACAAGGTAATAAGACCAAAGCCAAATAAATAAATAGTGTGTGACGTTTTGGTAACAGTGCTGCTACCTTCTTTAGACAAAAGTGCTGAATGAGAAAAAATCTATCTATCTATCTTAAAACTCGACTAACTGGCTATTTGAGAATGGTCCTCTAGTCCAAAATGAGAAATGAGAAAAATACCACAGCATGTTTTAAATAGTTACTGTTATTAAGTGTGTAAACAAGATAACAGATAAGAAGAAGATAGTTTTCTGAGAAACACAGAAAATTAGAATTAAAAGCTGTTGAAAACAAAGCTGTTACCGAAATGTCCCACACTATTTATTTATTACCTTGTGTTTATAATCCTAATGGTGCCTTGTCACCTCATTGTTTACTTCAGTGGCCACGGTAGTGCTTATTGAACCAATGACGACACAATTGTCCACGAGGAAATGAAAATGACATATGACCGGCGTCACCATGGGCACTGCTGAAATGTGACACATAGAGCACATGTGCTGACTATGGCCCTTCATGCTGCCATGTGGAACGATAATGTATTTTTAGAGATATAAAAAGTTGTATTTAAACAACAATTTTTCCTTGTAATTGTCAAAATCTATTTTTGGTCGAATTATCATTGGTTATTTGATAGGCTGTAGGACAACAATGAAAACATGGTTGAATCAACTCAAGTATCAAGGTATTGTTGGTCGAATTATTGTTGGTTATTTGGTAGGCTGTAGGACAACAATGGAAACATGGTTGAATCAACTCAAGTATCAAGGTATTGTTGGTCGAATTATTGTTGGTTATTTGGTAGGCTGTAGGACAACAATGGAAACATGGTTGAATCAACTAAAGTTTCATTGTTGATCAAATAAATAAGGTTAGACTGTATTTAGAGGACAGTTTAGCTTCTTCTTTCTTATCTCCACTCAATCACACTAAGGTATCAAGCCTGTAAAGCTTGCTGATGGTGTCTGCCGGGGAAGAGTAGAGCTCATCAATGGATGAGTCAATACAGTCAATAATGTGTCTTGGGGCTGCACAGTTTAGCTTGAATGTTGGAACCCAAGTTGACAGAATGCCATTAACACAATAAATTATTGTATTCAGGTAAATCTTTGATAAAGTTTAGGACTGTAGTTCTTGAGCTGTTCATACAATGGGAAATTTTAGCTTCTATAATTTATTCAAAGCTATGATATTTCATGAATTCCTATCATCATCATTCTATTTCTCTATGTCAAAATTTTGCACAATGATTTCTTCTCAGATGTTTTATGTAAACATTCAGAAGGTTTCTCTTTTGTTCCATCTGATCTCCCTCTCCTACATTATCCACCAGGGAATAAAACATTCCACTTGTAGCCAGCTCAAATTATAGAGGTTCATGGGCTATTGAATGAATAAAATTAGCCCTCCCTATGGCAAATATAAATAAACATCTTCTGTCATTATGCCACTTGTGATTTAAATGAAACATTTTAAAAGGAGATATTGGTTATCCACTGGGAGAACATGGTTGAAGTCATGTAATATCAAATATAATTTTCCTATATACATTGGACAGATTCTAGTGAACACAGATTCATTTTTTAACATTTTAGAAACTAAAGTTCACAAACCTTCACTTGGACAGAAAGAATTATTTCTTATAACATCATGTTAATTTTGTTCTAAAATTATTTGCTATTTGTGGAAGAGCAACACTTGAACCATATTTATATGTATATAAAATGAAAGGATTAAAAAGCACGAATGTTTCTTTTATACATTATACAAACTTCTACTGTCCTTACTGCGATGAAAAAATATATTGAGAGGGCTTGGCTCATCAGTGGTGAACCCTCCCAGCGGTTTCGCCAATTTAATCCACCAGACCGCTTCTAAGAGCTCTAATACTGTATTGGATGATTCTGCTTATATACGCAGCACTGAAGGATGGAATCTCAGAAATGGTTTTCAAGAAAACTATGGACATAAGCCCTCCCAATATATTTTTCATCGCAGTAAGAACAGTAGAAGTTTGTATTATGTATAAAAGAAACATTCGTACTTTTAAATCCTTTCATTTTATATGTATAGATGGCGCGTTATTGCTTGGTGTTAATGTTTATATGTATTTCTACTGTTCTCAAAGGTTTTGTCCATAGTTCATTTAAAACACCTTTTCCAAGAGGTCAGCATCAGTATCAGTATAAAAGGAAAACAGCCAAATAAAATATTACAGCGGAATGGTAGATTAAACTGGCAAAACCAATAGGAGGGTTCACCACTGATGAGCCAGGCCTTCCCATTAATTTATCATTGCAGAATAAAATTGTTTTGATTCAAAAAGAACAATAGGCGTCAAAATTGTTAAAATTTCTTAGAGAGAGGGTCGAGCAGATCTAGATTAGATTTCTGCAGCCACCACCACGCGCTGCCATCAGTCCGCTAAGTTTGGTTGTTTTAACATTTTTGCTGATGCCTAGAGCAGAAGATAGAATTGGCGGCATGTTTTCATGCAGCCATAAAATAGAGATCTCTGAGTTTCTTAAGTTTTGCAAACTTATTCAGTCCATTCTTTTAGTAAATTAAAGTTTTTAAATTAAAATAAGTGTTTGATATTGCATATTATAGATTTATTAACAAAATCAAATTTGTATTTTTAAAAATGATGGCTGTGGGTATATCTCAACTTCTAGAATATCCACTTATATTGAAAGCTTGCCATAAAGTTTGTTCCAGAATATAAATTTCACCCTTTTTTTTTTTTAATACAAAAGCTAAATATGGCAGACCATAAATAAACTATAAAGCTTTTGAGATTTAAAGCCTAATATTTTAACATAAGATATAATTATTAAATATCGAGAAATGGCTTAAAATGAGGCTAATAAAAGATCTATAACATTACACATTAAATTGAAAACCTAAACTTACTCTTCAATAGTTTTCTTTAATTGTTTTAATCGTTCTTTACGTTTTATACATTCTTCGAGCGCAGTTCCTACTTTTTCTTCTGACATTGTTATTTTACGCCAAGTAATGGTGTTTTACACGAATCTAAACAATTTCAAATACTTCAGCGGTAAATATGGGAATTATTAGTCAAATTATGTTTTTATCAACGATATTCAATTATTAAATATTATATTACTATTTATTTATTTTTATTATATATAGGCTTTTAACTTTTAATTAGACAGTTTAAATTTATATTTAGACATTTTTCATTTTAATTTAGACACATGGACATTTTTTAATATAATCTTTATTTAAGACATCTTAAAACACAACTATGACAACACTTATATAATACTAGCCGAATGACCGACCTGGGCAACGCCCAGGTTTTACCCGATTAAATGTTTTTATTCAAATACTATTCGTTACAATTATAAATTGGCGCCGTGGAGTCACTCTTGTGAAACGTCCTGCTCCAAACTTTGTGTCAGAGAAGCGATATTTTTATAAAGAGATGATCTGGCTTTGTGTCTTCTTCTCGAATGAATGTTTTTCTGTTAGAATTTTGTTCCTGCACACTAAAAATGAACTGGCTTCACCTGTGGTCTCAGCTTTTTGGAATTTTTCCCCGATATAATTTTGTATCTGATAATCGAACATGATACAGCAATATTATCATCATTTTCTGACTAAAAAAACAACTATTTTTGCCCAGAACCTGTCAATTTTATTTTTATTGACTAAAAATCCGATAAATATATTTTCCAGATTTTTCTCTATGTCCTGTCAAAACACGTTTTACATGTACATTAGGTCAGCTGATATTACCTCCCATCTTCACCGCTAGAGGCGTTGCTTGCGAGCGAAAGGGCAAATTTGCCACGCAATTTGCAAATAACTTGTATACATACTTGTGTACATAGACCATAAATATGTACATAGACAGGAAAAGCACATATATATTAATAATATAAATGAGTTTTAAAAATTGTAAAAAAAATGCATCGGCCGGGAATTGAACCCTGGGCCCGTGTGGCAGGCGAGCATTCTACCACTGAAACAAAAGCAAACGGTGACAGAATTAAGAAAGAATTGATTATGACGCTGATACCTGTATATATTAATGCTTCCATTTCTTGTGAATAGATGGAAAGTTATCGCCTTATGAGGCAGATTCGATGTGTCTCCCTTCTTCCGCCACTTGTATGCTTCTTCTCTCCTCCGTCTTGTGCTCGATCCATTCACCATGAGTAGTCATGTGGCTTGTGCACGCAGAATCAATTATCCACACGTCCTGTGTCGTCGGGCGTTCCTCCCTTGTGCTTACATGTAGTGCGTATTCTGAAGTGGAGTCTCCTCCGTTCGTTCTTGGATTGCTGATCTGGCCGTGTCTTTGTTTTGTTTTGGTTCTTTATGGTAGTTCCTTGTACTGGTCATGTTATTTTTGTTTGTTGTATTCTTTTGATTTCCTTTGTTGTTAGGGTTGAACCAACAGTCTTTTTCTTGAAATGTCCTTTTCTTTTGCAAATGTAGCATGGCTTTTCTTTGAATTGGTTGCCTGATGATCTGAAAGCATTTTCATGATTTTTGCTTCTGTCCTGTCTTTTATTCTCGAAATCCAGTAGAGTTTGTCTCAAATCTGGTAAGGAGATTTCCTTGTTTATTGACAGTGCTGCTTTGATCGTGTCAAAGTTAGGTGTGAGTCCTTCAACAATGTATCGTACAAGTTCTCTTTCTGTTACAGTCTTTCCTAGCTGGGTGATCTCTTGTGCCAGTTTCTGTGCTCGTACAATATACATGTTAACATTTTCATTTGTGTTCAATTTTAGTCTGGCTAGATCCAACATTAGGTCTATCCTTTTATTTTCTAGAGATCCTTCAAACCTTTTCTTTATGTCGTACCAAATTCTTTTGGCCCTTTTATCGCCTCGAAAGATGATTGTTAAGTCATCCGAAAGTGACAATATTATTAGGCTGTATTCTTCCCGATTTTTTTTCTTCCAAATATCATATTCTAGTTTATTTTTTGTAAAGTCTGGCTCGTCATTAACAATTACGTCCTCAAAGATATCTTTTGAATCTAGAATTGCTTCCATTTTCATGGACCACGTTGTATAGTTGTTTTCTGTTAACTGTTCGATTTTTGCTAAGTTATATGTTTCCATTTTCATTCAATTTTTCTTTCTAAATTGGCGGTTAATCCAATTATTTAATTTATTTTTGATTTAAATGGATCAATTGGCGGTTAGCCCAATTCGCGCGCCCAAACCACGCTCTGCTACCAAATTGATAGGCTCAGCAAAATACGATGTTTCTTTTAAGGATTTCAAGTTGTTTTGTACTCACTTATTTTGTAGTTACGAGGACATCTCTTTTGATATAAACTAAATATAAGCTAATGTATTTTTAATTTATTAATTATTTAGTTAGTATTTAGTCATGAATTTAAAAACTTAGAATCAAAAGTTAAAATATATAAGAAATATCTCTAAAATATTTGAATATGCACATAAAAATAATAATAATAAAAACAGTATTATTATCTACATATAAACCAATCACACACTCTGATATTCGAATATATATGTAATTAATACAGGTTCCCTAGGCCTTCAAAAGATTTCTCTAACTGCAGTATATTGACTATATAAATTCCAATTAATGCGGAACCCTTATCTACATAAAAAATATTAAGCCATGAAAGTTATGTACAGGGAAGAGAGATGATATGACATAGAAACATTTACTATTATATGAATGATACAATATTCTTGGGGTTGAATAATCAATTCTATATAAATTATAAATATATATTTGAAATGGATATATTACACCGCCCCGTAGTTGGCGATCTATGGATACGCTCCAGGAGCCTGGGTTACCTTCACTACTAGTATATTACCTGATCTTCCGCTTAAAATATCTCGAGGTCTCTTCTATTCCTGGCCTCAGATTCCAGGGAACATGTAGTTCTTGGTATCTCCTTGGCAGCATTCTGATCCAACAGTGGTCCTCCTGTCATTGGCTGCTTGGTCTCTCTGACTGAAGACAACCCGTGGTTCGTAGTTGGACTACTGCTCAAACTCACAACATAGAGTTTTATGGCAATTCTTCAGGGAAGAAAGAAAAGACTTCTGGAAAGAAAATGGCCGGAACTGTTTACTTTGTAAGGATCTCATGGATGATAATTTGGTTCACTATTTCTTCCAATGCCCTCTCTTAACAGAAAAACGTACTGAAATTCTCCCAAGCCCTAACTTTGGTCAATTTAGATACCAACACATATGTCAACTTCTCTCTTCAGCTCTGGATGATGAATTACTGATTGTTAAATACTTTAAGTTCTGCACAGAAGCTGGGCGCATAAGAAAGAATGCAGGGCAAAGGATACTGGAGGATGACCTATCTGTAAATAGGTAACTGAATGTGAGACAAACTTTATTTTGTTGTAAATATTTCCTCTTCCCTCTCCTCTTGTTGATGTGTAAATACGGCGAATCCTATATGGGGCGGAATGCCCTAAATAAAGGCTTTTGTTGTTGTTGTTGTACTGCTCAAACTCCTGGTGATTTGATATATTAACAATTTGGTCATTGTGCCTAGAATCTTGAGTCTCACGTTTAAACTGAGCCTTGTAAAATTTCAGATGCATCTCCTTCGTGGTTAAATGAAGAATTTTCAGCCGATTTATCCACTCTTTCAATAAAAGATAATTATACCTTAAATAATAAATCTGCCAAGCCTGGAGAACACAGAAGTTGCTAACTATGGCAAATCTTATTTATACCAAAGAACAGGGAGGCAGTTGAAATATGAAACTGAGGAGCCTTTTTTATAGTCCTCAAAAACACATTTCGATTTTTATATATATTTCTACGATGGCTATGCTTGTTTTATTTTAATATAATTTTAATAAGCTTGAAGTCTTCTTGGTGATCTGAAAGAGATATGGCTCAACATAGCTAGAATCTTTAGCTTCAGCCACAAATTGGAGTGTTCTTGCATGTTTTCTGGAATATCAATTATTGCTATTCTTGATTTGGAAACGAGGTTATCCCTGAAGCTATATATAATATCGTCTCTTATATTAAATGATTTTAGTTTAAAGTTAAGTGCTTCTTTATAAAAATGCCCCACAATGTGTTGTTAACTTTGATTGGGTTAGAACTTTCTATTTAAATAAATTTTATTAATTTGTCTCTGATTTGTGTTTATTAGAACAATTTGCATTAGCATTGTTTTGATCAATAGTCATATCACATTACATATATCACAGTTACATATTTGACAAAAATTAAGGTCAAAATTCTAAAAATAGAAACTCTACTTCACCACATCAACTTTAGAACATATTTAACTCTTAAGTTGTGCGTCTGAACGAAAAATGTCATCGATTTTTGAATTCAGTAAACATTCTAAGGAGAATTTGTATCTTCTGTAATATAAATGATTTAGTATAACAAATAATTTAAAAGTACTTGCAACTTCAGGGAGGAAATGATAGGCTGAGAAATTGATGCACAAAACTAGTGAAATATTTTATTTTTGCAGTAAGAGATGTAGAAATTTATTTATTGTTGTTCTATGCAAAAATAAAAACGGGCGCTATAGAAATAATTTATATTTTCAGATACAGATGGATCTCTAGTTATATATACATGACAGGTTTAAATACAATATTATAATTGGTGAAATATTCGTCTGTTTTACTTGAGGAGAGAGAGATAACAATCATGTAATCAATAGTGATATAGCTAAATACTAGAACACTGGCCTGTCGCAAAAAAAGCCATGGAGATTTTCAAAAAGGACCTGCAAATAGACTAAAACTCCGGGGTAAATCCAGGTATCAAAATTCGAAACTATTATAGACGCTTATGATTCTTTAAAAAAAAAAAACAATTTCTACAATACTCTATAATAGTTTTTTGTTTTCAAATTTTCACAACAGATGGCGCGCTAATGCATCATAAAATACAGGTATAAGAAATTTATTTTCCTTCAATTCACCGATCAATCTCTTTATAATATGATACATTAGCGCGCCATCTGTTGTGAGGATTGGAAACTATTATAGACGCGAGATAAATCAGTGGAATGTAATAAGGTTTATGCAAAAATGCTTAAGTAACACACACACACACACACTCGAGCGTGCGGCCACGCTTTCGCGAGCTCCGCCGTTTTCGCCTTTTGAGTGCGTGTAAAAGGCGCTTAATCTGGCAAGTGTGGTATTGGCGGAAAGCCCAGGATGTGCTGAAAAAGTGCCTGAAAGGCCCAGCATCCTGCTACAAACAGGCGAAGAATTATCGCCAAAAGAAGGAAATATGAAGAAAACAATTGATATTTCTTCTGAAAATCAAAAATATGCAAATTCGCCGGCAGGCGACATGCATGTAAATCCGGCCGCCGCGCGTGGTGACGTCACGGCGCCGAAGACTGCTGCTACGACCAGCGCTACAACAGCCAGCCCGGCCTCGCTCAACTGGGCCGACAGCGAGATGGCAGAGGTGGACGCCAACGACGACTACACAGTCGTGAAGAGCAAGAAAAGGCGCCGTATCTCACCGTCACCTGACCACGCCTCTAAACAGCCAAGCAGGCCTGCTGAGAAGCCCAACTCCCAGCAGCAGAAGCGGCCAACAGGGCCGAGAACAGTGCCGCCTAAGGAGATCAAGGCAACACGCACGAACATCGCCGACGCCAAGGCGAGGCAGGCCACTACCAACCACGAGAACTACATCTTCGTGGAGCTGTGCCCTGACATCCCGGACTACTCCTACCTCCGGGCAATGGGCGACCTGGTCGGAGGGCCCAAAAATATCACACAATTCAACAGGATGAACGGCCACTACATCGTGGGCCTCGCGAGCAAGAACCTTGCGAGCCGTCTGGTGGAGGAGGGCCTGAACATCGAGGGAACACTCCTCAAGGTCTTCCCCTTTCGCAAGAGGGCCGAAAGGATAATCGTGGCCAATCTCCCCGGCTTTGTAGAGGACGCCACCATCGTGCAGGCCCTGCGTAAATATGGAGACATCACCTCCATCGCCCCCATCATGATCAAAAT